GCCCATAACTTTTTCGGTACCCCTCAAACAGGTACTTTTGAAATCACCAACTGATGTATTTTTCAAAGATATATATAGATATGTCTATTTTACCCCCACACCAATCCTCATTTTTGAGAAAAATGTCTTTTAAGCCTTATATTGGCCATAACTTTTCAAATACCCCCTGCTATGACCATCATAAATAGCATAAACATATTATACGTGAAAAATGTGATCGATTGACCCCCCTATCAAGGGTATCTGCTTCCGGGCATAGCCTTCCAGAAGGGGTAAATTAATGCCTAGTTAAGACAGGGCCTCCATTTTTGGCCCATAACTTTTCTGGTAGCCATGAAACAGGTATTTTTGAAATCACCAACGGATGTAGTTTTCAATGACATATATAGATATGTTTTTTTTTACCCCCAGACCGACCCTCATTTTTGAGAAAAATGGGTTTTAAGCCTTATTTTGGCCATAACTTTCCAAATACCCCATGGTATGGCCATATTTGATAGCATAAATGGATTATACGTGAAAAATGTGATCGATTGACCCCCCTACCAAGGGCGTCTGCTTCCTGGCATATCCTTCCAAAAGGGGTAAAACCCTAAAACCCTAAAACCCTAAAACCCTAAAACCCTTAAAACCCTAAAACCCTAAAACCCTAAAACCCTAAAACCCCGCGATACCCTGAAACCCTAAACCCCGGGACCCGCGCAACCCTAAACCAGGAACCCTCGCAACCCTAGAGTTTGAAACCCTAAACCAGGAACCCTCGCAACCCTAGAGTTTGAAACCCTAAACCAGGAACCCTCGCAACCCTAGAGTTTGAAACCCTAAACCAGGAACCCTCGCAACCCTAGAGTTTGAAACCCTAAACCAGGAACCCTCGCAACCCTAGAGTTTGAAACCCTAAACCAGGAATCCGCGAAACCCTAAAGCTAGGAATCTGGATACCCCAAAACCCGAAATCCCAAAACCCTTAAAAATAGATACCCCCAATCCTACCCCCCTTCCCCCAAACCCTGCCACAACCCTAAC